TACCCCGACACCCGACTCAAGACCCGACCTCAACCCGAAGACATGACCCCGACCCAAGACCCTACCCTGACCCCGACCCCAACTTGAAATCCAACCCCGGCCTTGACCTTGACATGTGATCTGAGACCCGACCCCGACCCTGATACCTAACTCAAGACCCTACCTAAGACCCGACTCCAACTCGAGACCCGAGCCCAAGTCCAGGCCACGAGACATAACCCCGACCCCAAAACCTGACATTGACACCCAACTCGAGAATCGACCCCGATCCCGATCCCGACCCCGAGACCTGACCTCGACCCAAGACTCAACCTCAACTCGAAACTCAACCTCTAATTCTAACTTGAGATTTGACCCCGACTCAATTTGAAATTTTGGAGTTGGATCTTGAATCGAGGTCGAGAGTCGGATGTCGAATCGAGAATCATGAGTCATATCTAGGATTAGTATTGGAAATCGATACTTGAGACTTAAGTTAGGATTTAAAGTTGAGGTGTGAGGTTCAAAATAATTTTGGAAAATGTTTTCGTTACTTTTTAAAGGGAAGTCATTTTCCTTAAATTGAGGAAAATAAGTTGATTTGGAAAACATTTTTCAAAATATTTAAGCCAATCAAACATGAGAAAATTGAAAAACAATTTTCTTCATATCAAACACACCCAAAAAGTAAAAACTAACTCGCAAGTCGCATGTATTCATCAAGATAATAACTAACCTATACGTGTTACTAGATCTAACTAAAACTATTAGGGGTCGTTTGATAGTGTGTAACAATATAAGAATAGTGTTGAATACAATATATTAGTAATATTGCTACTCCCTCTGTTTTATTACTAAAAATCAATTTTTAATTTAATTGTCCATTTTCGCAAATCAAGACTTCCTTTTCAAGTTATCCTTAGTATTAAATGACCAAAAATAATAGTAGTCCAATATAAAGTTCCAAAACATTATTAATAAAATTAATTTAGTAAAATATATGTCTAATTAAATTATTTTTTTAAGGTGTGTCAAGTCAATTAGCTCTAATTAAAGTTTTTTTTTAAGGCGTATGTTAAAATTTTCTTTAACTTGGCCATGAAGACACGAGGTTATAAACAAAGCAATATTGAACACACACCTTATTCTAGAATCAGTATGGTGACAACCTTAATTATCCATGTTGATGATATGACAAAAAAAGAGATTAAGAAGTTGCAAGGATATTTAGCTACATATAAAGTTCAAAATGAAGAACCTTGGAGGACTTAAGTATTTTTTTAGGACAGACACTACAGTAAAAATAACTTTTCGGGACAATAAAAATACACATTAACAAAGAGTGTTGAAGCCTTTATTGACACTAGTTAATTGTCATTGAATTCAATGTCGCTATAGGCTTTAAGGACATTTACAAAGAGTGCTAGCTGACACTAAATTAAGTTATTACCGTTAACTAAAGGTTGTTTTTGCTGTAGTGAGAGGTTGTCCAATGTAGCAAAAGTATTTTTCCTTTCCCGTAGAGAAAATGTTGTTGACTTATTGACAGAAACATGAATGGTCAATTGCAGAGCAGATGACACTACTTTAGTCTAAAATGATGGACTAAAAGAGCATCTGCCAACAAACAAAGGGAGGTTTCAGTATCACAACTTGTTGACAAGATTTAAAGTCGTCTCCTGGAAGAGGACTTGTGTTCAAGAAACACAATCATTTGAATATTGATGGCTATACAGACGCAGACTGGGCGCTGGAAGATCAACATCAGCTAATTTGACTTGTAGAAGCAAGAAATAGAACGTGGTGACTTTTTCTAGCGCAGAGGCAGAATTCACAAAGGGAATTTGCCAACTTCTTTGGTGGTGTGATAACAAGTCATCAGCTATACAAATTGCTCAGAATCCTGATCAACATGACAGGACAAAACATGTTGAAGTAGATTGACATTTTATTAAAGAGAAAATAATATGTGAAATTTGAAGACCAGTTAGCTGCCATGAATCTGGTGTGCTCGATCCCTTAAACATTTACGTGAAATCAGATTGGTGTGATGTACCAAAAGTATGTACAGAGTTTGTATTGATAAGTTATGTAGTGTTTCACATCAGATATAAGGTATTCAAAGAGTTTACATAAATCTAATTGGGCTTTTCCTCCCATAGTGTCTGGCTCATTCTGTAAAAGCATACCTTTCCTAGCTTGAACTATGTAAATATAAATCCGTTCTGGTAAAAAAAAGGGGCAGCCTGGTGCATAAAGGTCCCTAAGTGAAGGGTTGGATCAGATTGGATCTATTTTACGCAATCTTACCTTGCATTTCTACTGTCTTCACGATTGAGAGATCCCATTACCTCTAGGTCACATTGTTGCACCAAAGCTCCCCCTTCTGGTTTAAATGTACACAAAATATGGAAGTATCTTCTAATCCACTGTTGAAATTTCTTGTGACAAAGTTTTAGAATCTTGTACTGTCTTAGAGTGTCCGAGTAGGCTAAGAGACGCATCATCAGCAACAACCTGATCAAGTTCAGTAGGTGATGATCGGTCCTCAAGATCATTAGAAAGTCCCAATTGTTCTCTTGTATTAAAATGACACCACTTTTTCTCCTTTGCATACATCACGGCAGGATACAAGAACAGCCCTAGAATAATGACTGAGCCACTTACTATAAACGTCTTTAAAGAAGCCAGATACATGACAAAAAGAAGCAACAGAGAAGGCGGCAGGCAAAGCAGCGTTGCTCCAACCGTTTGCAACGGGACCTTATAAGGTCTATGAAGATCTGGCTTCTTTATCCTTAAATTTATGAAGGCTGCAAACTCAAGAAGCATTCCTACTGAATAGAGGAAGTTAAGAAATTCCAAGATTTCTTGAAAAGTCATCCATGACAGAAAGATTACGCCGGTTGCAGAGCATAAGATGCTGATAGTTGGTGTCCCATATTTTGATCTGCAAGATTTGAAGTAATAACTTGTCTTGTGATAATAGACTAAGAAAGCCACCACGCTAAATTGTAAATTTGTTATTTCCCTTTAGTAATGTTCATTATACTTAAATCCAGATATCAATCTATGAAAACCTTAAATAACAAGTCCTCATTTTTATACTGTGTCTGCACCTTTCCTAAGGTACTCCTAAGACTTGATTTTTCTTCTTTAAATACTCTCTCCGTCTCAATTTGAGTAGCACCGTTTCGACTTGACCCAAAATTTAAAAAAGAAAGGTGATAAACTTTTGAAATTTGTGGTCTAAAACAAACCTTGGACATTTGTGTGGAAGTTGTTTCTAGTTATAAAAAGATGACATTCTTTTTGAGATAGACTAAAAGAAAAAGGGTGCCACGTCAATTGGGACAACAGGAGTTCATTGTTTGATGATTATGATCTACCTCAGTTGAATATCACTAAGTCACACAAGGAAAATCTCTAGCTTGTAATATTCAAAGTATCAATTGAAAATTTGTCAAACCTTGAAGCAAATATAGACGGAAGCATTCCGATTTCGCTCATCCCAAGAAGTTGGAAGGCATCACTACTCATTTCAGCTTCAAACAACCCCATATTAGACATTGCAGCTGCAGCCTGAATCCACCATTTTAACCATAAACCCCCAATAAGCATTCCAGCTTCTGCAAAATAACCATCACTCCACTCACTAGGATTAGAATTCAACGCTCCTGTACCGGCAAGAAGTGGAATTATGTAAGACAAAACCACCAAAACCACAGCCCCGAGCAACGCCTTTGGAAACGTTCTACTAGGATCTTCAACCTCCCCTGCTACAGTACTAGCCTTATCCCAATAATTCAAATTCCAAAACATGTTATTAAAGAATCCCCTCCATTCAACCTTTTTAAAATCCACAACAAACCACTTTCTTGGCCTAATCCTAGGAATCGATAGAATCCCCATTACTAAAAAGGGTAAAAGCGAAAAACTTGCAAGCAAAACAGTCGAAAAACCAACAATATGCAGTCCTCTATAATTCATATATGTCAACGAAACTGTAATTCCTAACAAAGCCGGAATTCTTGCAATTAGATGAGTAAATATGGGTAAAGAATGCTTCAAGTAATCGAGGAAGAGTACCGGATACAGAGCATTATCCATAACACCACTAAACCATTTCCAAAACCCTTCTTGAAAACCCCAAAAGGGGCCAAAAGCTGATGATATCCAAATGACATAACCACCATTTTGAGGGAAACTTGTGGCTAATTCAGCTGTGATTAGAGCTTCAGGTATGCTCCATAATAAAGGGAAAATCAAGAAACCAAGTAAAGGTAATAAAGGGCCACCACCTGCTTTAACTGAATCTTCAATACCAAAAGGTCCACCTGAAACATCATAGAAAATGAGAGCAATAAGAGGTAATAAAGTTAATTTTGGATTTTTCTTGTCATTTGCAGTGTTCTTGATATCATTCACCATTTCCCTCATCGAGGTGGGGGAGAGAAACAAAAAGTCAACCCACCAACATCAAGATAGTAAATCTGGAGATCCGAATTCTATGGAATGGATTTGGGTGCAACAAATCATATGTAAAATAATTTTTCAATCATCTAAAATATCCCATCTTTTTTTTTTTCTTGGATTGAAAACTGGACATAGTCTTTTCTTGGATTGAAAACTGGACATAGTCAAACTGAGAATATGCTTACTGCACGTGCTTGCATAAAATGAATGGAGACTTGACTTGTGCACACGTATTAGACTAATGCACTTGCTCCCTCCGTTTGGTTAAAAATATAAGGACCTAAATTTAGTACCAAGTTTAAAAAAAATAAAAAAAAATTAATCTTATAATTTTAAATTAAAGTTATGTCAAATATATTTACAAAAATTTAACAGCTTTAAAAACTAAAATGTTGTTAAAAAAGAAAGGAGAGTCCTTTTATTATATAAAGCCAAAATTTCGATATTGATTTTTTAATTTTTATATATATTTCCTTCAACCATTAATTGTAAGTATCTCCTTGACAATTGTGCACAATGTCTAGTTGTAAACAATTCCATTAGTATAGATCCCTTAGATGATTTCTTCATCCATGTCCACAAAGACTAGTGAATGATCATGCATTTCAAAAAAACTAGAACAATATACGTAACACTACATAAATTGGACAACGTCTAAAAATTTATCAAATACTTCTACAACTAATTAATAATAACCGGTTCGATCTAAGATTTAAAAAACTATAGTTTCAACTATCTTTCCTAGCCTCCTCCAATTTAGCTTAGCCGATAAACCAACTGCAAAATAGTCGAGAAAAAACAAACCAAGGTAAATTAGCAACCAAGTATAGGTAAATATGGTTTGTTTTTACCCCTCACACAAACAATGAAAAGAAAAAAGTTGGGAGGAAATTGAATACCTCATCATCTCAACGTCTTTTTTCTACAAAGACGGACAACATTCTCCTCGTGTGGTCCTTTATATGCATGGATTTGAAAAGTTTCAATCGGTGTACGCAAAGTCAGGTTACTAACTTTAACAGTCATGAAAAATTCACGACATTCAGCCAAAATAAAGTTCACTGTTTCAACATAGTTAACTTTGTACTTGTAAACCTGCAAGGCATAGAGAAAATATTGTAACGTCATTGAGGGTTTGAGGGATATTATTTACACAAAGCAAAGAGGAACAGAGTCATACATTGGTTTCGTTATTGTTGTAATCCTGAATAGCATGGTTAGCCAATTCCATCAGCAAGTCAGTTTCTTTCTCAAAATCCAGATATGGTATGTACATAGCTGCCTTAGCATCACCAGGATAAATGTCAATGTCGAAACCCTGTCAAATAAGCCAATAAGTCATGAACTCATAAGTCATATCCAAGCTGTAACAAAAGGAGAGGTCTAATTGAATGGTACATGATGAACTGTCCCAGATTTTATATTATAGACGGTAAGTTAAAGCAAGTGAAAGCGAAAAAAGTTGATATTCAATCCGGTAAAGAAATCCAAAGCGAAAATTCTCTTCTAGTATTTGGTCCATTAGCAGAGGCTAAGAATTGTTACTCTAACATACATTATGGGTAAAAGTGCCCCTAGACAGACCTGAGTTGGCTAAAAGGCTACTCAAAGCATTCAAATTGTAGTTTGTTCTGAATTAGGTCAGGTCAGACAAGCATGGGACATCTATAACGTCTGCGGAAGAGAAAGAGTTGTAAAGAACAAACAGAGAATAAGTAACTATGGCAATTCTGATTGTGAGAATTTCATATATTGCAACAACAAACCCAGTGAAATCCCACAATGCCATCCCACCCAGGGATGATAGAGTGCACGCAGGCCTTAGCAATGCCTCGACGAGGTAGAGATGCATAGATGAAATACAGGGATTTAGATTATGAAATATGCAAGTATAAGTCTAATCACTCAATTTTATTTCTCTAGGTCCTATCATAATCACAATATCATGCTAGCCCCAAATAAACACCCTACGAAAAAGGGGGAAAACAACTCCCATGAAATTCAACCCCAATTAAACAACTTATGGAGCAATAATTCGGATAAGTAAAGGGAGACAAACATCGGATTGGAGAATCTGACGGAAGTATCTTCCATAAATTTTGCGAAACAAATCACGATTATCCTTTGAAGCGGTTTTGGGGATAAAATCGTCGTCATTCCACAGATTCTCATTCGCCAAGTATTTCTGTGGCAACTCCCTCTTCCATGGATCTTCTTCTTCTTCTGCACAAATTGGCTTCTTCGATTCAGCGCCGCCCATCTCCGTGTCCATGGAGCTCTCAACCAAAACAAGGTTTATGGGTTTCAGGGCACAAATATAAATTTTCCTCCCTATATTTTCCTAGTATCCCATGTCAATTAGGACACCTTTTTAAAAAAAATAATGTACATATTTATTTTTATAAAATATATGCTTATAATATACTAGATACAATGAGCTTGTGCAATCACGGGCCAATAATTGTTACTTTATTTGATTATTTATATGTGTGATTTATAAATCTTAACGTAATTTTTAAATAATATATGTTACTTTTTTTTTCAATTTATGTAGTGCATATGAAATTTCAAAAGTTTCACATTTTTCTAAATTATCAATATTAATTTAAATTTGAGATTGTTTGAGTTTTAAATTAAAAAATATTTTTAGGGAAAGTGAAGCGAAAGACAACACTACACACTTGTTGTTTAATGAAGAGAACCATCAAATTAGATAAAGTAGTATATGAAGGTTAAATTTCAGATTAGTTCCCGTCTTTATAAATTTCTAAACTTGACCCTAAGTACCTAAAGCAAGTTTCCCTCTTTGTAAATTTTGAAATTTGATCCCAAGCTGTTCTAATTCATATGTTTTTAAATACTTTAAGTTGCAATTAATAGTATTCTTAACGTAATTTTCAAATAATATATGTTACCCCATCTCAATTATACAGTATGCGTGAAATTTTGAGAGTTAACCAAATTTGTAATATTTTAAATTTATTTTTAGTACTATTTAAAAAGGAAAATATTAAAATAAAAATAAATTCTAAAAAATAAAATAATAAGGGCAAACCGGTCAATTGGCCAGCCAACAACACAAATTTATAAATGCATTTGTAAGTACAGGTGGACCAGCTTTGTGATAAAAAGAAACTTAGTTCATGTGATTAATAGTATTCTTAACGTAATTTTCAAATAATATATGCTATATAAGATAATAAGATAATATATTTTCAGAAGACCCTATATAAATATATGGTTCCACTAATATCATAAATTAATAATTCTTAAAAATTACAAATATATCTAAGACAATTTAGTGAAATATGATTCTATTGTGTTCTGTTTTTTCCCTTAAAATTCAAATCTAGTTGAAGCTCATCTCTAACTTTTCTTATTGCATCCAAGAGTTCTGTTATTGTCTTTTTGAACTGCATCATAAAATTGTGAAAAAATCTAGATGCGATAAGTGATTATTTACCAATAACTGGATCCAAAGATATAGTATCAACTTCAACTTCATCATCAACATTGTTTTTTCCGATGGTATCCACAATTTCTTTTAAGTTTTGGACCTCTGAACATGTATCACTTTCACCCGAATAATCCAACATGTTATTGACATCAATTTTATTGTGGTAACCGAGATCATTAATCATGACCTCAAGTTCATGAATGATATTTTCACAAGTGGATTCATTCAAATTCTCTAAGATTGCATTCCCCAAACGAATTACAGTGTCGAAAACAATTTGATATTGTCTCTTGTTGAACATTTGTTGTCAAAGCAGGGATTGCAAAATTGATAGCATCCAAAACATTAATCTTTGTTGGATCAGTTTGTCCCACTTTATAGCTTTCTAATATCCTACGATAAAATCTGTTACGATAATACATCTTGAAAGCTCTTATTATCCCAGCATCACAAGATTGAATTTTGGATGTCATGTTGGGTGGAAAGAAAAACAATTCAACATTTTGTAGTCCTTCAATATTTCTATTATGGGCTGAACAATTATCTACCATAAGCAAAACTCGTCTACCATGCATTTTGTGGTCAAACCAACAAATATATTCATCAAAAAGCACACTTGTCATCCATGCCTTTTGTTTGCATGATTATACATAAATTAGTAAGATATAATGATTTTGATGTATTAATTTGTTGTACTTTATGTATAATTTTTTTTATATGAAATCAATAAATATAATACATAAATTAGTAAAATACAATGATTTTGATATAATCAAAATTAACCTTTGTTAAATCTCAAACCATTCTTTAAATTAATAAATATTAATTTATTGATTAAATAATATCTCTATAAAATAATAAAATTTCATGGTCCCACCTATATTAATTTATAGAGGTTTTAATGTTGGTGAACCAACTTTGTGATAAAAAGAAACTTAGTTCCTGTGATTAATAGTATTCTTAATGTAATTTTTAAATAATATATGTTACCCCATTTGTTTCAATTTATGTGGTACATGTGAAATTTTGAGAGTGAATATGTTTTTCAAATATTGTAAGTTGTTAATTATTAGTATGATTTATGATATTTTAATGTAATTTTCAAATAATATATGTTACTCCCGTCGTTCCAATTATACAGTATGCGTGAAATTTCGAGAGTTAACCAAATTTGTAATATTTTTAGTACTATTTAAAAATAAAAATATTAAAATAAAAATAAACTAAAAAAACAAAATATATATAACAAGTAGGAATTAGAGGAGACACAATTTTATAATGCATTTGTAAGAAGATGGGCCAGCTTTGTGATAAAAAGGAACTAAAGTAGTTGGGCCAATTTTGAGATAAAAAGAAATTTAGTTCCTCTCTTTGTAAATTGAGAAACTTGACCTCAAGCTCCTCTAATTCCCACTTATTAATAGAGTATAGTAATAATACTATTTTCAAATAATATACGTTACCCCATTTGTTTCAATTTATGTGGTACATGTGAAATTTTGAGAGTGAATATGTTTCTCAAATATTGTAAGTTGTTAATTATTAGTATGATTTATGGTATTTTTATGTAATTTTCAAATAATATATATTACTCCCTTCGTCCCAATTAAACAGTATGAGTGAAATTTCGAAAGTTAACCAAATTGTAATATTTTTAGTACTATTTAAAAATAAAAATAATAATAAATAAAAAAAATAATATATATATATATATATATATATAATAAGTAGGAATTAGAGGACACAATTTTATAATGCATTTGTAAGAAGGTGGGACAACTTTGTGATAAAAAGGAACTAAAGTAGGTGGGCCAGCTTTGAGATAAAAAGAAACTTAGTTCCTCTCTTTGTAAATTGAGAAACTTGACCTCAAGCTACCCTAATTCCTTTTTTTTTAACCCTCCCTAGGAGCTCTCCCACCGCTCTTTGCTCTCTTGATGACTCGAACTCGTAACCTTCGAATTGGAAGTGAGGGGTGCTTAGCAACTCTCTCTCGTCAAGCTCCTCTAATTCCCACTTATTATATATAGTAACTATTTAAAAATAAAAATATTAAAATAAAAATAAAATATATATAATAAGTAGGAATTAGAGGAGACACAATTTTATAATGCATTTGTAAGAAGGTGGGCCAACTTTGTGATAAAAAGGAACTAAAGTAGGTGGGTCAGCTTTGAAATAAAAAGAAACTTAGTTCCTCTCTTTGTAAATTGAGAAACTTGACCTCAAACTCCTCTAATTCCCACTTATTATATATAGTAATACATATTTTCCACATATGCGAATATTGATGCTATAAGCATAAAAAATTATTGTTTATATATGCCAAGGTAGAAGCGAGACCACAACTAAGAAGGTAGAGAAGAAGATGTTGGACATCACGATAGGAATAAATTAATTTATACGATGATCATTTTAATTTTTACCCTAATATTAATTTATTTAAATTTTACACGATAAAATTATTTTTTCACGTGGAGTGTCACGAGACATAATTTTTAAACAAAAGAGAGAGTGTACACACAACATTAGAAATTAGTCTAAATGTATTTTGCTAACTATTGGTGATAGTTCAGGTAGAAAACTCACATTTTCAATAGTTTAGGTATGAAACTATAAAAACTGGATAGTTTAAATATGTTTAACCCTTAATTCATATTCTAATTACAGTGTATTTATACTATATATAATTGATAAAAAAAAATTATTTAGATAAAGATGAATTCTCTATTTCATTATGTTTATAGAATTCTCCAAACTCAATTTTAAGTAAGATTTGAGTTTGAAAGACTAATATTGTTTTAAAAAGTGGTTTTCAGTGTCGTTTGAAATTTCGAGTGTGGGAATGAAATTTTGTCGATTCCATCAGTTCAGAAATGTGGAATCTGATTAGTGAGAGTCGTTGGTTTTAGATTTGGAGTCTTCTTGAGAATTTGAGACCCTAAGTTGGAAATTGTTGAGAATTTAGCCTTTGAGCTAACTTTAGTCAATATTCAGGGTTCAGATGCTCGGACCTGGATTCCAAGAGTTCCATTGGTTTCGAGGGATGATTTTAGACCTAGGTGAGGTCTTGGTTAATTTTTGAGAGGTCTGAATCTTGTTTTAGCCGTTTTAGGCGTTATATTAGTTTATTGTGGTCTTCATGTATGTCAGATCAAGGAGACCTCAGATTCGTATTTTAACTGTTCCATTGAGTCCGAAACATCGAGTATAATCGATTTGCATGTGTGGTTTGTGTGTACAGGATTTCGAACAAATTATGAGGGTCCTTTCAATGATTTTGTGTTGACTAATGTTTCTGGTGCTGCATCGTCGCTCTTGCAGAGGGCCTTCGCTTTTACGAACTTCAATTTAGCGAAGGTCGGCTCGCAAAAGCGTAACTGAGCTTTTGGGCGTGGTTCGCTTAAGCGGATCAGGGCTCGCTTTAGCGGTGGTCGCTTAAGCAAAGCCTGGTTCGCAAAAGCAAGACCCCCAATTTTTATAGCATCCGCTTAAGCGACATAAGAGAGGGTTTTTGGTTTGAAAATTTCGGGGATTAAATCCCATTTTTCTAGTTTTGAGCTTGGCAAAATCTTTGGTGGCAATTTTGAAAGGATTTCTTGGGCTAAATCATTTGGGTAAGCTTTTGTAATCCTAGAACTTCATCTCCCTTTGATCATTTATGGATTTCAACAGTAAAATTTGGGATTTTTATTGACAAATGACAAGGTTTTTCAAGAACTCAAGTTCTAAACTAAAATGGAGATTGTGAATTGATTTTAAGTCCTTTTTTGAAATGATTTTCACCAATAAGTTCCAACTGCATTGGGTAATGATTTCAAGTGAAGAATTTCGAATTCAAACTTCATTTTCGGAATTGGATTTTGTGTATTGACTCATTTTTCAAAGTATATGAGTTGGGTATTGTTGTTTTCGGAAATTTATTGTGAATACTTGATTGATATAGATTGTGTGGCTTTAGACATTGGTCGAAAAAAGAAGACTCAAGTCTTGGAGTGACTAGTTGGTTAAATTAAGGCAAGTCATCTCCTAAACCTTGTAATTTAGTAGAATTTGTGTATTGCCTTCATTGTGTGTGTGTGTTAGGAGTAATGGGTATGTGGTGAGGGATTCATTGTTCCACTTGATAAATCGTAATGAATAAAAAGGGAATTAAAGAAAAGATTATGTGCTGATCATAATGTTTTGTGAATTGCCTTGTTGTGACCCTTATTTGATTGATTGATGAAGTGCTTGATAACATGAATGTGAACTTGAATTGCTTGAATCGTTGCCTCTTCCTTATAGTGTGAACTTGCTATGTGCATTGATTGTTGTACACCGTGATGAGACTTGTGATACGCAATCGATGAGAAATGATTTCGGCTATAGAAATGATATAAAGCCAATGAGAAATGGTTTCGGGTAGTGAGATAATATAAAGTCGGTGGGAAGTAGTTTCGGCTAGTGATATGATATTAAGTCGATGGGAAATGGTTCTGCCTAGTGATATGATATAAAGCCGATGAGAAATTGTTCTGGCTAGTGATATGATATAAAGCCGGCGGGAATGGTTTCGACTAGTGAAATGATATAAAACCGATGGGAAATGATTTCGGCTAGTGATATGATATAAAATCGATGGAAAATGGTTCTGACTAGTGATATGATATAAAGACAACGGGAAATGGTTTAGACTAGTGATATAAAGTCGATTGGAAATGGTTTCGGCTAGTGATTTGATATAAAACCTATGGAAAATGGTTCCGACTAGTGATATTGTGTTGAAGGAAAATAGTTCCGGCAAGAGATTGATTATTGTGATTTGATGTGTTTTGATGCTTATGTTTGACTTGTTAATTGTGATTGATGCACTTGCTACGTGTGATTGACTCTACCTGACATTGAGATTGACTTACTTGATACGTGTTGGTTGTGAAATTGTGATTGGACTGTGATTATTGAAAGAACAACTTTCGCATATAGCAAACACAAAATTCATATTTGTATGTTATAACAAAGTTTGCATAATTGCGCTCCATAGCAAACATATATATGTATAATTCGCTATACATATACAAAGAAAGCAGTTGTATAATTCGCTATACATATACAAAGAAAGCAGTTGTATAATATAATTGCGCTCCATATCAAACATAAATATGTATATTTCGCTATACATATACAAAAGAAAGCAGTTGTATACAAAAGATCAATTGTATAATCTGTGTATGTATAAAACAAGAAAGAGAGAAAGGCAAAAGAAAACTGGGCAGGGAAATATTTGTATTGTATAATTATAAGTGTATAGGACGAAGATATATGTATATGCATGTGTATATACAATTTTCTCTCACTTTATACAAACAGAAGCGCAATTTATACATTTCGTTTCTGTTTGTATAAGCGAGAGAGGCAAGGGTGGCGAGCGAGATTCGGGAGAGTGGCGAGTGAGATCTAAAAGAGGGGGAGAGAGGGGAACGAAAATATATGTATATATACAATTTTCTCTCTCTTTATACAAACACAAACGCATTTTATACATTTGATTTGATAAAAGCGAGAGAGGCGAGCGAGACTGCCACCAAACGAGAGTGGCGAACGAGATTCCACCAGGGAGAGTGGCGAAAATAACAATAGTTTGCTATAGGGTACAATTAAATCAAAGTATATTTATAACATTTAATTTGAATTAATAGTTTGCTATTATATATATTTTTCCCTTATTGAAACTTGTGAGTTGTCACTCTAGAACTGTTAGGTTTGACTAATTTATGTGCATGTTGTAGTTTTAGGAGGTTCGGTTTGGATGAAAGGAGTATTCGTTTTCTAATTAAGTTGCTTCGTTTATTAGGTTGCTTGTTGAACACCATGTTGTTGGTACTCACCCCTTGCTTCTGCACTTGTATAGGTTCCAAGCCCAGTATCATGTGATCGCTCTTTCTCTCCATCTTCGAGGCTTGTCAGAGAATTGTTGAGAGGTAGTTGTTTGTCATCCTGGCGGACCCTCTAGTTCTTCTTTTTATGCTTTATTCTATTTGAGAAACAAAGAGTTGAGATATGTACTTATTTATTAATTTTGCACTTATGTATTAGTGACTTGTACACGTGACAACCAGGTTTTGGTGTGTTAATAGAAAGAATAAGTTTTTCGCTTTTATGTTGTTTTTGCATTATCTTTCCCTTTTTCTTTTATTTCATTGGGTTGAGACTGACTTGGCTTGATGAGAATAGACAAGTGACATCATGTTAATTTTTGGGTTCTGACAAATTATTACTGAAGTTCTCATACGAAATAAAAAAAATTGGCAAGTTATCTAATTTTATCCAAATTAGAAGATCCGAGGTTTTGCTAATTTATCAAAACTTGAGTAGCAACTTTTTATAGCAGAGTTCAACCTAATCTTAACGTTATGGATTGATCAATAATGAGATTGGATATGTTTTTGTATACAATATTTTTATTGGCATAACACACAGTAATAGTATAAATTGAATGTGAATTGAGCTCACTTCAATTTCCGTTTTTTATCCCTTTGAAATTTTGAAAAGTATAATCATATCCACTTTACACAAGTACTTAATAACCTCTTCTTGAGTCAATTTTCCAATCCTTTAACAAAGATGTCCAGAGTTGAGGGCAACCCAATTTTTACCAGCAGCCAGAGTTCTAAACTCTAATTATATTTCCCTAAGAGTACAAACAGATTTTACATTGTTATTATTCTTACGCGAAATGGTGCATACCTCAAGAAACTATTTTGCTTACGAAGCACAGAAATAAGAGGTTAATGTGCCAATATCTAGATAAAAACACCATGATCCAAATTGGTTTTTGCTAAACCATTTTCCTATAGAGAAATCAGTTTGAAGAGAATTTTTAAACAGCCTAACATCACAGGCATCAAAGAGAAGATGAAAAAATTACTTCCCAGAAGTAGAAGAACCGTCTGCTCTGTTATCTGTAATATGTACACACTCCACTGCTCGTAAAGGTGGAGGCTCATTAAACTTCAGTACGTAGGCAGTGAAATGAACAGACTGCAACGGCATTATAACTTGGGCATCTAAATACGCATTGCAGGAGAAACACCATACTGATAGATCACTGCTCCAGAAAAAAAAAAAAAAAAGGAAATCCATAAACATGTGTATCTTCAGCTCAAAGATGTGACGACTAAAATGATGAAAGATATTGACGTCTTGTCTCACAAAAGTTACCTAAAGCTGAGGGCTAAAGAGTGATCGGTCAGCTTGTAATGCTCGAGCATGTGCTTATTAACAAATCGACTGCAAAGAACCTCCTTGCAACACAAACATAGCCAGTTCTCTGCTGGATGTTGGCACCTTCAAAAAGGTTTTTGCACAATGTCACCAAATTGTTTTCCTTCCAACAAGAAATTCCATAACCATTTACAGCTAATTCTCACAGGTATAGTAGGTCTAATAACGAAGTCAAGCGAAGTAAATTAAAACCAGTCCTTCCTTGTCTGGAATAACTAGAAACATCTATACAAATGGGTGGAAGTGTATCAGATCGCTAAATGCCTATGTGATATCTGAAAACCAAACCAATGAATGGACTATTAATTCCAATATACAGACTTAAAAACTACAGAACTGAGAGTGGACTGACCAGCAAGTTCCGTAAGGACATACAGTAATGCGTATGAAATAGCACAATGCGAAACATATAATTTAGAACCAAAAGGATATTGATGTATAAAATTTACATTTCCTTCTTAAAAGATAAAGAAAAAGTACTCTAAATATGTTTATTCAACCTTGAAATCAGTCCATTTTTATTCTCTTTTCATGTTTTTGAACTTCTCAAATTGGAACTTGCTAACTAAGTTGCTCGGACTCTCCAAAAATGTTGTTGCACCTGTGTCGGATCCTTCAAAAATGCATTACTTTTGAAGGATCCAACACACGCCCGATGACATTTTTGATGAGTCCGGGTAACACAGCATGCTAACATTTCATACATTCTCTATTCCTTATATTTGGTGTAAATTAGTAACATCACCACAAAAAGAGAACTGATGTAAGGTCCTAGACGCAAAGGAGTGTTTAGCGCCTACTATGGGGTGCTTGAAAGGGGAAAAAATACCATAACAACATGATTGTTAATTCGTGATACTTTAATCTAGAAACAAGTTTTGAATAGCTAAACATTGAAAGTCTAAAAGAAATAAAATGCTTATTAGACTACTTATTGCATAAAACAATTAACACAAATTAATCTCATTACAAGCTCAAAAAAGAAGGAAATAAAATGAAACAAAGACAAATGTACCACTTGACAACTTAGTGTGACAGGAAGTACAGTAATACCATACAATATAATATCATATGTACGGGTCTCTAGGAGTTTGCAAAGGAGAAGAAAATATAGGGTTGTAACAAGATGAACCTGTTGCAAGGAGTATCAGGAGTTGGAATATGGGTGAGATCAGATGACAAAGAAGCCAGGTGATCACAGTGAGTTTTGGCCTCAACCCAACCTGATTCGGACCCGTATAGCATCAATATCTCATCTTCTTCATCAATAGGAAGTAAAGACGATGAAGAAGTTCCAGTTGCCATGGATCTGGATTGACGAAATACGATTATGTTAGCCACATTTGACAAATTTAACTAAGGGACAGCATAATTTTGCATCAGCTATAGAAGACTTTGAAATGCTATTTCAATGAAATCTGAACAGAAAAGAAGACTCGGAAATTATCAATCAATTGTCTGAATCTTTTTAGGGAAAAGAAGAGCATCACACTTAAGAGTTGAATGACATGAAAAAAAGAAGAAGAGGAGCATGTAACACAGCACCAGACTGCAGCAAAGTAAAGTTAAAGCACTCTAAAACAAGTAAAGTGGAACAGGCAAGAAAAAAATATGACACCAAAAGATATAAGAAATATATTATATGATATCGATTTTGGTATAATAGAAAGAGTAAATCCAACAAAAGTTGATAACAAGATAAACAAACAAAAAGGTAAAGAAGAGTTAAGATTTGGAAAGCTAAACGATAGATTTCAAGCCCACATACAAAAGCATTACTTCCAACGCAACAACAACATATCCCATGAAATCCCATAAGTGGGTCTGGGAAGGGTAGAATGTACGCAGATCATACCCTACCTCAGATTTAGAGAGGACCCTCGGCTCAAGTACAACATATCAAAATAATGAAAAAGGGAAAACAAAAACAAAGCAACTAATAAGGAAAAGTAACAACCACAAACTAATGTGATAACCTAAACACAATCAACAAGTGATAGTGTAATCAAAAGCAAGACACTATAAGAAAACGGCTAAACCCCTAGAAAAGCATTACTGGCAATGATGCCAACAAGCCTAAGAAGTATTGCACATCAAAGTAAAGATACCTATTGCTAAGGTTTTGGGTTCTATCAGAAGATGGAATCAGCTACAATCCACTGTATCCATTCAGAATTTCAGGCACACTTGTTAACAAACAAATTAGAGATCGGTTTAAACTCCCACGATAATGATTAAAAAGAATTTCTTCGAGAAACCAAAAACGATTTTGTCGATAAGTAATTGGGGATTTTGATACCTGAAGGGCAGGAACGAAGTTGAAATAGGGATACACTGATATTGGATACAAAAATAGCGACTTCCGCTCCTATAAATGGACCACTTTTAAGGGTTTTTAAGATCAATGACTATATAACTTTTTTTTTTGTTTTTCATTCGGTGTTCGAAATCCACATTAAAGCTCCGACTAAATCTGAATTGCGAACTGCAGGCCTATTCAGAGGTGGCGCTCCCAACAAAGTCCCACTACTACACCACAACTCATGTTGGACTACATAACTTGCTCCAACACTTGGGATTAGTTTTTGTACCCAAATTTTTTTATAAATGTATCCCATAAAAAGTAATTAGGGACCGATGGAGTACTCAGTTAATAGTTTGATTAAAACATGTCTTTTATTGTCAATAGTTTGAATAAAAACAAAGAAATAGATCAAAATTATCCTTTTTTCCAAATAAATATATTATTTATTTCCTGTTTATTATTACATGTTTATTCTACTTCAATTCGAAAAAGATAAAGAAATAAAAATATTTTCTATTTTATTACGAAATTTTCTTATCATTATCTAAATGAAAATTTATGATGGAGCTACTATGATCTTTGAAGGGAGTTTTAAAAGGCGGGGCCGCGAGACGAGTCCTTTTATGTAGTACGGGGCGAGGCATAGGTCACATGGATCTACAGGGCCCATTAGTGCATATGAATGAGTTCCAAGAAAGCGGCCGTTCACGTCAAGAATAGAGGCGTACATCTCATGTGAATTAAATTTTATAATTTTATTACTAAGAAAATAAGCAAAAGTAAAACTTTAAATGATTTTACAAATAAATTATAATAAATAACCAATAACATAGAAAAAAATATTATAATTATTATTTGAGAAAGGTATTAATAACCAATAATATAAAAAATATATATTATATTTACTATTTGAGAAATGTAACAACTAATAAAACAAAAATGATAATAGTCAAAATAATCTTTAAAATGAAATCATCATCCATCTTCACATTTAATTACTGGTCCTTCCCGGTCCATCATCGTCATTAGCTATTAGTATCATTCCACTACTAATTATCAGTTGTCGCCACCAACAATCACGATTAATCACTACGGCCAATCACTATACCATAAGATACTACCCACAACCACCATCAATTAGCATCATTTCAAATCGACACACACAATCACCATAATCAACCATCACTGCCACCAATTGTCATTTAGAATTTTAAAAATATTTTCTTGATATAGTATTAGATCAATTTATTGTTTATTTGAATTTTATATTATTCTTTTTAAAAAAATACAAATTTTATATGTCAAATATTGAGAAAATAAATAGCCCTAACTAAGTATTTAGATCTTTATGGAACATCTTAATATTCAGATGTACATTCAGATTCAAATGTCTTAATCTTAATGAAAGCAAATGAGGTCTAAGTCTGTGTATTTTTTAGGTTTGAATTTTAATCATTCAGATCTTAACTATTATGTAGTTTTCTCACGTTACAACCACTGAATGAGTTTGAATAGATTTGAATGATTAAGATTTATAACAAAGTAATATTATTAAGATATCTACTTAAGAATTAAGTTCTACAAAGATGCAAGTTCCCCAATTTTATTTATTCACCGCTACTATCATTGCCCACCATAATCAATTACTATCACTCACTACCACTATCCACATACACAATCACCACCAATGTAAATCACTATAATCAGCTATCACCACCACTAGCCACTATTTCAATCATCAACCATCACTACCATAACAACCAACAATCACTACTAAAAATCCTCACCCTGGATCTTCACTATGTATTTTCAACCATTGATATAATTCATCATCACTATTAGTTATCACTATTAGTCCACCACAACTATCATCCTTCACCATCACCTGCTATAGTCAACCATCACCATCAACTAGTCACCGTAAGTCTTGGAGAAGATCTCACTTTCTCTGCTCATTCAATTATAACATGCACGTACATATTAAATAGATACATAGGGGATAGACTCCTAATATAATAAGAAGTCTAGAAGCAGAGAAAATAAACTCCTAATGATATAAGGTTGCTATCCTGGAGATATCCTAACAGTCGCAACATCACCATTCCTGACACTAACAACCACCACCACCACCAAATAATTTTTAAAAAATATTTTGTTAATTTAATTTTCAATTAATTAAGTATTTTATTGACTTTTACATTTAATCTTTTTTTAAGTAACCCCACTTGTGGGACTACACGGGGTATATTGTTGTTGTTGTATTCAATTTCAAATAAAGACAATTTTTATATATTCAGATATTAAAAAGAACAATCTTAATTATTTAGTATTCAGATCTTAATACAACATCTTTATAATTTAGATGTGTATTCAGATTCAAACACCTAAATCATAATGCACATTTTAAACTTAAATGTGTATTCAGATTCAGACATCTTAATTTTAATGAAAACAAATAAGAACTAAGATGACTATAGTTTTTGACATGCTAAAGTCATTTAAGGAAAACTCTAGTCTAGGAGGAAAAAAGAAAGAAAGAAAGAATTCCCAGAAAAGAAAAGACCCACCAATACTAGTGACTACATTTTCTGGTACTAAGTTAGGATCAAGAAACTGAATATCTTCCTTTTCTTGAAGGTGTGTACTTAGCTTCTTCCAAGCTGTCAGATGAATCTGAGCCACTATTTTCCCCTTGTTTCCTGCCTTTGCTTGACCAAATTTTTGTAAAGATCTTCTTTGATGAAAGTATACTTTTCATTCTACCATTGGCAGCCTTGTCAACGTGACGTTTGGTATCGCCATTTAGTCCTCCATTTGCCAATCTTAAGGCTGCCAGCTCTTCTTTCAAAGCCCTCAGTTCTTCTGCAGAGGCTGTAACCTCCGAATTCTCTGTATTTGTTGTCGCTGACCTTGAGCTCGCATATGAAGCACTAGTGAGGTTTCTAATAGCTTTGGGAAGATCCGGAGTGCTGCTCCCCGATGATGCATTGGCCCTGACTTGCTCAAAGAAGAGAACTTGTACGACAACACGTGATGGAAGTCTCTCGTTTTGCACGGCATGTGTACATGCATCAACTGAGAGCTTCTTGCAATCCATCAGACAGCAAATTCTCTTTCTGTCATTCTTGCTGATCCCAGGGTGCTCCTACAACATCACAAGAAGATCAATAAGTATAATTGCTAGCATTCATTAGTTGAGAGTAGGAACTTTCTGCACTAGTTTCCACTACCAATAATGTATGTGACACGGGAAATATTAGACTATTTTACGAAAGGTCATACCTTAAAAGTATGTATTACTTGAATGACTTTACTTTTAATTATTCAAGTAATACAGTAATGTCATTTCTTTTGTAATCAAAAAAGTTCCATAGATAGTTCAACAGATTCTCACCTTGAGGTATATATCAATTGCCCGATAAAGGCTGTCATGACTAGGGCGAGGGAAATCTGTTACCATCTCTGCTAGACCAACAAATGTCGACAAAGGAAGATTAGGATCCTTGGCAATTTCTGTAAGGTATCCATCTACTAGCTTCGCCACCATGAGCTTTGAAGCTTCTGATAAAACCCCTGGAATTTCATTACCATCTTCAAACTGAGTTTTCAAATCCTTATTATGCACAACAAAGTTCTCTAGTATCTTGTGGAAGACATGGACATCATACATTGTTGCTTCCCCGTCTGTAGCTCGAATCAAAAGACCATTGACAGAAGCCTCCTCCAGTTGCTGCCCTATTCTTTTTACTAGCTCTGCCTTTACCTTTTCTCCAGAATCTACAGAAATGGATGCTTTTAGCAATTTCAACAAGAAACTACAAGAGACACTACCTTTTTCAGCAGGTAATAGACATACAACCGTATCCAATATTGAGCGCGATCTGGACACATCACTGAACTGGCAAACACCCTTGCTAAAGCCCGGGAACCTTCTTAAAGTATAAGCTTTAATACCTTCTCCAATCACTTCAGAGGAAACAATCCCTTTGTTCTTTATGTTGACCATAACCCGTTTATAAAGATCTATTTCAAGCTCACATAAGTCATCAACCCACCAATCATTTGGCACCACACGGCTTCTAATTCCATTTGAGTTAGGACCACTTCCATTTTCCTCTTGTATCTTGGTCCGGTTATAGGTATAAGACCAATCAACCTTGCGAACATCAATAGACGTCTTGGATGCTATAGCATCAGTACAGTGGCTGATCAACTTTACTTCCTCACACAGATGTAACCTAGATTTAGTGGTCTGAAGAAATATTATCGAATCTTTCCAGCTTCGGAAAATGGTCGAGTGTAAGAAAACATCAATCTTGTAAATAAGATTTCCTTTCTCAACAGTCTCATCCATTCCAAGATACTCTGCAGCGCACCTTGCTGCTATGACATTATAAGCATTCAGTGTAACGGTCATACCGTAACAAAACTTGACACACATTTCAAAGGCAGTAGGTCCTCCCGGAACGTCATGAATGTGAACTTCATCACCATCTCCTTCACTTGAGTTTGTAACCAGCTTTTGCAAATGAGCACTCTTGGACAGAAGAGGAAACTGCAATTTTCATCGATTACAAGTATCAGGAAATACTAAACCAACCCACCCTTCACTACAATTGAAAAAGAAATACTAAAGTATGCTCAGTTATTTCATTCTTTTCTTAAGACCAGCAAGCAGAACATCGGAAATAAAATCTCGAACAGAAGAAGGTAGCATATATTAATTGTCAGATAGTAGTACCTTATGCAGATGAAACTTAACGTCTCCTACACTAACAACGATGTCAGAATCCAACTCTGAAGCAACATATCTGCATTAACGGAAATATTATTGATGAGTACTTGTTTAAACAGAGAAAAAACACAAACATTCACCAGGCTATTGTGAGTGATGAAAAGACATAGATAGATAGATAGATAGATAGATAGACTTCACAGATATGGCTTAACCATGTGAAGATATTGTCCATTCTGAGCCTAAACTTCCACAATTTTAAAGCGCATCATTACTTTGTAAGGCCTACTTACTAATATACTCAACATCTCTCCTATGTTTTA